GGAGGAGTGCATCCTTTTGGACACTGACCCCTGTGCTAGCTAACTTCTTTCTTTAAAAAAAAAATATTTGTATACAAAATCTGTATTCATTGTGTTCCATTCATATACATTGTATTTCACATGGCCTTCTTGACAACAGGAAAAGCCAGGACATGTGGATATCTCTAAAGAACACTAGGTCTATAGAAGATGAAGGAAACAAGGATTTTTCCTTCACAACGGGCAAGAGAGAGCAAGCAAAGGAGAATTGATGCCTTTGAATGGTATTGGCAGAGAGTATTTGAACTCCTAAAAGGACAGACATCTTTATGCAGGGGCCATGCTAATCTTCTCTATATTGTTCCAATTTTAGTATATGTGCTGCCGAAGCAAGCACCCAAAAGGACAATCTGTCTTAGAAGCAGTGGAGTCAGGTTGTTCCTTAGAAGCAAGGATGATAAGACTTCATCTTACATACTTTGGACATGTTATCAGGCGAGACCAGTTCTTAGAAAAGGACGTCAGGCTAGGTAACATGGAAAGGCAGTAAAGGAGAGAAACATTCTCAGTAAGGTGAAGTTAACTGTAAGAATGTGTAAAAGCTTGGTGGAGATTGAAAGGATGGCACGGAATCAGGCAAGGCTTCCATCTGTTGTATCCAGGATTGCTACGAGGTAGTCAACTTGGAAGTAACTAACAACAACGACTGTTTAATTTGACAAAATAACGGCAACAATGGACTTTAGCACAACAGAGATTGTAAGGCTGGTGCAGGATTGGGCAATATTTTACTGCATATGGGGTCACAACAGACTTGATGGCAGTTGTCAACAATAATAACATACTGCGAGGAGGAAGCTCTTCCTCAGTAATGTTTCAATGCCTTCGAGTCTGAGCAACTCATCTTCTGGGATGACGTTGAATAATGTCCTGCTGTCGTCCTTAGGTTTCACTGGCTTTCAGTGTAGACTTTTAGAAGTTGGTTGACAGGCCTGTCTTCCTTACTAGTCTTAATTTAAAAGCTGTGCTGAAACTTGCCCACCATGAGGGAACTCACCTCCCAGGAATCAACTTTCAGCCCAACAATAGACAGTTCTATAAAGTGTTATTTTAATTTGTAATTTCATATAATTCTTCTTCAAAATAATAAGTTTTTATTGATTCTTTCATCTCTCTTTACAATATAAATAATTATTTCTTCATTGTTTTTATTTATTTCTTTAATGTTTCTTTATTAAGTGATATTCCTCTATAGTCTGTTTTTAGATGTTGTTGTTATTATGTATCAGTGAATTAGAACCAACTCACAGCTGACTATCCAGAGGGTTTTCAGAAGCTAACTTACACAGAAAGAGATTGCTCATTTCCGCCCCCCCCCCCATGTAGCAGCTGGTGGATTTAAACCACAAGACTGTGTTAGCAGTGCAACTCCTTATTATTAAACCAGCAGAGCTCCTAATCTTAAATGAGACTTCATTGAACGCCATCCCATCTTCCTTCCTCTTATTAATAACCACAGTTCCTAGAAAGTTACCTTTGCAATTTTACATAATAAATGAAAGGTTTTTTCTTTTGTTTGAACAACTTTTGATAATCTCTTGATTGTTTTTAAAGATACCTTTGTAAATTTACATAATAAGTTAAAAAATTGTTTCTTTAGTTTGAACAACTTTTGATAACCGCTTGATTCACACTATATGATATGGGGATCTTATTCCTTACAACGGAGCTCTGCTGTCCTAGTGGGTAAGGAGTTGTACTGTCAATCCAAAGGCAAAATGCTTCTAATTCACCAGCTGCTCTGAGGGAGAAAGAAGTTTCCTTTCATGTGATTTATAATCTCTGAAAACCCACTGGAGGATCAGCTAAGAGTCAGTTCCAGCTCCACAGCAATGACTAGACTTTTTGAAATATCCGTTTAACTGGATTCCCTGACAAATGGTTAATGCTCTCAGCTGCTACATAAAGGTTGGTTTGAGTTCACCCAGAGGCATGTCAATGTCAGGAGAAAGACCTGACATCCTACTTCCAGAATAATCAGCCTTTGAAAACTCTTGGAGAACAGTTCCATAGACACAAATGAGTTGGCATCAGCTCAACAGCAGCTAATTATCTTTTTCATTACTTCTCCCCCACTTCTACTACAGCCCTCCTTTTCAGCTGTAGCTTTTATATTTTTATACTTTATAACATGTATCTTATTCAAGAACTGTATTTAAGTCTTCTCTAGTTTGTTTATGGTATTACTCGAAAAGTTGGAAATGAAAGAAAAGGCATTTAACTTTAAGGTAAATATTGTTTACTGTATTGTCATATATATGTTGTGACTACAGTTTTCATAATAGAATTCCAGTGCCACTAAAGACACGTTTTCCTGGTATCAAAGGCCAAATGATTCTTTGTGGAAGCTATAGAAAATCAAAACCCGAAATCTTCAATATGGATTACATTTTAAGATCAAGGAAACAAAGATTCCTACCACCAGGCCAATGGGAGCATCATGATAGTTGGAAAAGAGATTGAGGTCATTAACAATTTGTGTGGATCCACAATCAACACTCTTGGCACCAGCACTCAGGAGTCAAAATAGGGGTTGTGCTGTGAACGTCTACTGTTAGGGACGTCTCCAGGGTGCTAAAGAGCAATGGTGTCAGTCTAGAGATTTGGGTGTGCCTGACGCAAGCAGTTGTCTTTGCAATTACTTGCTATACAACTGTCACAGAGGAAGACAATGAATAATGATGACAAAAGAAGAATCAAATTTGAGTTATGGTGATGGAGAAGAGTATTGAACATAACATGAATTGCCAAGAGAACAAATAGATCTGCCCTGGAAATGGTAAAACCAAGTTGCTCTTTGGAGGCAATAATTGTGAAGCTTCATATTTTGGGCACGTGGCCAGAAAGGACCAGTTCTTCGGGAAGGACACCGTCCTTGGAAAGGTGGAGGACAGAAGAGGAAGACCCTGGATGCCATAGATTGATACAGTGACTGTGGCAATGAGAGCAGGTGTCTTAGAGATGGCAAGACTGGCTCAAAATAGGGTTTAGAGCTATTGTTCATAAGGTCACCATGATTCGTAATTGATGTGACAGCATATAACAATAACTATTTTGTAAATCATCACATTGTTATTTTCATCATAATTGTACTTAAAACTTGTAGGTGCATTTTTTCCTCCTAGGATTTATGATTCTCCTATAGGCTTGGTTTTTTGTTTTTTTTTTTTACATTCACTGATTGATTGTTTTCTTAGACTTAAATACACAGTCTTAGTAAGCCTCTGGGTACATGTAGCAAAATAAAAACAACCCACATAAATTAAATTAAAGCTATCACTTAAAGAAGAAAAGAGCTGACACTGTTGTTGTGGAAATGACAATCAGAGAGCATGTGAGGTTCTCCTGAGGATTTAAAGAATGACCCTCTGCAAGTGAGAAGTGAAAAGATCAAATGATATATGAGTTATTTCATAGCTTCTTAGTAATTTTATCTATTTTTGGTGTAATTCCTATTCCTCTGAGCATTTTCTTTTTGAACCCTACTGACTTATTTTCCCCATTTAATCTGATTGTCTTGCATTCTGCTGTACAACTTTCATACAAGAATTTATACACTGTGGCATTTGTTTTTCATCATTGCTGTTGTGTCTTGGATCATATTTATCATCATTGTTTCTTTTCACAGAATTCCTGCTCAAGTAGATTTCTTTTATGAATATGTGTACAAAAGTTTGTATAGTTTAAGTTGCTAATCTTTAATAAATAGTCAGTTTTTAGGTTTTTAAATATCTGGCTTTCCACAACTCCCCATGTGTCAGGACCTGGCTAACCTGCAAAGCAGGATTAGCAATGCATTGTAAAACCAGCAGGACCACCCATCTTGGCTTGACCATCTGCTTTAGAGTAAACAACCCTAGGAAGCAGAATGCTAATTAATAGGGAGTGACCAAAGGTCTCAGAATTCAAGGAATGTGATACCTTTTTGTTCTTCAAAACATAGGATATTCCGGAAGATATCCTTGTTTTGTGTTGAGGTCTGGGACAGATAATAGATAATGCGATTACCCCTGCAGGCATGTTTCTAAGACATATATAAACCTTTTCCAAAAAAAAAGTTCGCTATTTGCTATCAGTATAGCCTCTCCATGTCTTCCTTTCAACCTGGTCCCTCCTCTCGGCGGAATTGTTTCGATATATCAGGCTGGACCCTGATACCCATGAGAACTCATGAAGGTCTTGTTCTATTGTTGTAGATTTCAGTAGTTTTGATGAAAAGTCTGATGCCAGTGTAATGCCCCTTCTTTTTATTGTCTTTTAAAGCTTTAGATTCTTATCTTGTTCTGAAAATTACTTACTAATATACAAATTTAGATATAATATCAACCTGTTTCATGATACAGAGTTGGATAGTTATAAATAACATCAAATTTTTAAAGAAGTTGACTTGTCTTTGCCTGATACAATGCTACACAGTATAGCATAAATTATTTTTTTCTTTATCCTTATAAATCCCAGGTCTGTGTATCAGACCTCAGAAGAGAGGCTACTCCTTACTCTATAGAAGCTGACAGATCCAAGGTCAGCAAGTAAGACAAATTCAAGTCCAGGAACTTAAGGGTACAAGCTAATAAATGATCCAAAACAAAAACAAACCTCTGATGACCTGGCTTGTAAAGAGTTGCACTGATAACCCGAAGGCCACGTCTCTCTGGTAGTTTGAGTCCACTGGCAGCTCTGAGGGGAAAGATGGGCAATCTCCTCCTATGGACCCATTGGAGAGTCAGCTATGACTTGATTCCAACTCAATGGCAATGAGTTTGAAATGATTTGTATTTTTTACTAAAAAATAATAGCCTAAATAGATATAATACTATTTATATAACAGCAAGGATTTGATTGCAATACTGTTTTCTCTCCACTACAGCATTTTCATACACTTTTGTAGTGCATACGCTTTTGTACATCTTGTTATAAATTCCATGTAATAATAATGTAATAATGACAATTGGCATATGTACCTTGAGACCAGGGTTTTTCCTCATCCGCAGCCTTCCCATCCACATATCAGTCAACAGCATCTGGCTGCAGGTGTGGGCTATGAAGTCTCGATGTTTGGCAGCTACTGCCAGCTTGAGGCAGGTTGAGTTACTCCAATTTTTCAGCTCGTAAGTCAGAAGTTTCATGGCTATCTGCTCATCATGCTTATAGGACTGATCTAGCAACTCTACAGCAAGCTGGCCGAAGTCTCTGTGAAGAAGAAACGCTGCAGTGACCACAGACTTTTTTACTTTTTACATTTAAAGACATTTTTATAGGGGTATTACAGAGCCATAGGACAGAGGGTTCTTGACTAGAATGGGCTTTGACTTCCTCTGCAAAGCAAAACATTCAGAGGGCATCCCTGGCTATTGGCATCTCAATCAGGGTGAGAGATGTGCACTTCTCTAGGCTGGGGCTTACTCTGGTGTAGAATAGCTCCTAATGGGGCTTAAATTGACTCCAGGATCTGTCCCTCAGGCCCATATAACAGAAAGAGAAGATAAAGTCACTTCCCTTAAGGAGTTCACAGAACAAGGACTTGTACAGGAAAGACAGCAAAGGTGAATTAAAATTAGGTTAGAAAAGTGTTGCTTTGATAAGGAGAGAGCAATGGACTGATAGGAGACACCAGGAGAACACAGGATGTAGGCTTTGTTCTCAGCCAGGCACTGGTCGTGTAAGTGTGCTGTGCCTGGAAGCCATCACCAGCCCTACCAAAGAGATTACATGCCCCTCTTGTGTGAATATGACTCATAAATAACGTATTCATTCCAAGAAGACTCAACATTCTCATTGCCAGGGCAGAGACAGCATGCGATTGTCATGGGACCCTAGAGGAAGGATAAAGGACCTATAGCTTGGGTGGTGATGATGGGAGGAGGAAGAGAAATGACAGACAGAGAAGATGAGACAAGAGGAATTGACAACATACAATTTGTTCTGTTTCCATATGATTGAAATATTAGGTACTAGTCAGCCAATGAAACTGGAAATGTTTGATTCTTGGTCTCAGCTTTTTTTTAAATTATTATTATTATTCTCATGTAGCTAATATTAGATGGATCTTGGCTGAAAGCAGAGAGTACCAGAGGAATGTCTATCGGTGTTTCATTGATTATGCAAAGGTGTTTGACTGTGTGGATCAGTGGATCACAAAAACTTTGGCTGACTCTGAGAGGAATGGGAATCCCAGAACACTTGATTGTGCTAATGCGAAACCTGTACTTGGACCAGGAGGCAGTTGTCAGAACAGAGCAAGGGAACACTGCCTGGTTCAAAATCAGGAAGGGTGCATGCCAGGGATGTGTCCTATCTCCATACTTTCTCAACCTATATGCAGAACAGATTATCCAGGAGGCTAGGCTCTGTGAGGAGAAGTGTGGCATCAGGATTGGTGGAAGATTCATCAACAATCTGTGTTATGCAGATGATACAACCCTTGCTGAAACTGAAGAGGACCTGAAGTATTTGCTGCAGAAGGTCAAGGACTGCAGCCTTCAATATGGATTGAGGCTCAATATCAAGAAGACAAAGATTCTCACCACTGGGCCAATTGGCAGCATCGTGGTGGATGGTGAAGAGACTGAGATTGTAAACAGCTTTAATTTGCTTAGCTCCACAATCAGTACTCTTGATATAAGCAGCCAGGAAATTAAAAGACATATTCTATTGGGAAAGTCTGCTGTCAGAGACCTCTCCAAAGTACTGAAGAGCAATGATGTCAGTCTGGAGACTAAGTTGTGTATGAAACAGGCCATGGTCTTTGCAATCATTTGCTATGCATCAGAAAATTGGACAATGACTAGGGATCATAGAAGGAGAATTGATGTCTGTGAGCTGTGGTGTTGGAGAAGAGTATTAAATATCCATGGACTGCTAAGAAAATGAACAGGTTCGGCCTAGAGTGGATAAAACCAGGCTGCTCCTTGGAGGCAAGGATTTTGAAGCTTCGTCTGACATACTTTGGACATGTTGCAAGGAGGGACCAGTCCTTGGAGAGGGACATCATGCTTGGGAGGGTGGAGAGACAGCATAGAAGAGGAAGACCCTCTATGAGGTGGATTGATTCAATGACTGGAGTTATGAGGGTGGGTGTGTCAGAGACAGTGAAGCTGGCACAGAACAGAGCAGGGTTTAGTGCTGTTGTACATAGGGTCGCTATAAGTTACAGATGACTCAACGGCACATAACATCAACAACAACAACATGGAATATAGCTAAAATGTCCTTCCATGCTAATCAACCTTATCTGATTTTGCTTCTCTATTTTATAGAATACTTTATTCCACTTATGATCTAGCTGATGAAAAAAGGTGGGATTATGTGGGAGAATTGCTTACTCTCTTATCAGAAGGGGAATACTTCTCTGCAGTACCTTCTGGCCTTGGGTCGTAAGGGCTACAGAGGACCCATTTTTAAGTCCTCTAGAAAGCAGAGGGACAACATTTATGAAACCTGCTGATGTAGGTAAACATAGTCCCTATTTTAGACAGCATCCAAGTCCTGACACTTAGAAATCAACTAGTAATTCTGGGAACTGTACAGTTGTAAGTTCTAGACATGCTTTAGAAAACATATACTAAATACTGAGAGTTGCCTCAAGTCCAAGTGTCTCTAAAGTGATGTTGTTGTTCATTGCCTTTGAGTTGGAACTGACAAATAACTGACCTGACCACCCTGTAGGTTTTCAGAGACTGTAAATTACACAGGATGAGAGAGCTCATCTTTCTCCTTTGGACCAGATTGTAAATTTACATGCAGCACACTCCTTGCCACCGTCACCATAATTCCCCTCTACCATGTTGTTGTTGCTGAGTACCATCAAATTAGAACTGACCCACCGCTCACCCTACAGGAGGTTTTCAGAGGCAGTAAATGGCATTAGAGGAGATTGCCAATCATTCTCCCACAGAGGAGCAGCTGGTGGATTTGAACTGCATGCCTTTGGAATTGCAACACAGCTCCCTCTCTAAAGTGTTACTCCTCTTAAATCACTTTCATTTTCTTTGCATTAAAATCATCTTCTAATAGTTTGCACAATAAACTAGTAGATGAAAGTGAAGATCATCTAGAATCTTAGGACTAAACACCAGAGAGAAACATTAAGAAAAATATTGACATAGTAGACAAAGTGATTTATAAACAAACATTGGACTTAATTGTATTTAAATCTGAAGCATCTTTGCCATTCCTTCCTAGATAGGACTCAGGACAAAGATTGTACTCTCAACAACAGTCTCACTTGGCCTGCAAGTTATGCTTAGACACTAACTTTGAATTGTTGTCCAAATCTTGGGAGATGTCGTCCACCAGCTCACTCTCAGAGGACTCCTGAGCCATGGATTTGTAGAGTTTGCAGGCTACCAGGGCCTTGGCCATGCTCTCCTCTCCCCTTTGCCAGAGGAAGACCGCCATCTTCTGGCGCTTCATCAACACAGCCCACACCATCAGCTCATGGAAAGGGTACTGGAAACGGCTCACTGCAGGGTCATCCACATCAATGTCGATCTCTTCCTCCTTCTTCTTCTTTTTCTTCTTCTTCCCTTTGGCTGGAGGTTCATCATCCTGAGGGGACAAGAGTGTGTGTTTCGTGACTGGCCATGATGTGCAGCTTTCTGAAAAACTGCCAGAAGCAACAGACCTCTTACACACACTTGGAAGTTCTCACTACTTACATTCTTTTGAAAAGGTACATACATTTATTATAATAAATAAATAGTCTAAAACTAGAGGAATGGAAAAAGTGAACTACAATGTCAAGAATTATAACCTGGGTTAACAGAGTTTCCACCCAGAAATTATCACCTGAGGAGATGCTGCAAAAATAACAACAAAATACATTAATAAATGGGTATTGTGGAGTCAGAACCAACTCATAGCAACTCTCTAGTGGGTTTTCAGAGCCACTAAATTGCATGGGAGTTGATTATCTAACTTTCTTCTGTGGAGCAGCTGGTGGATTTGACTGTGTGCCTTTACATTGACAACACAGCTCCTTACCATGAGGCCACCAGCGTGCCTTATGAGAGAGTAAAGTGTCTCTAGGTTTTGGGTGATATTTCCTTCACGGAAGTCCTTCCGCATAGTGAAAAGTCAATATATATTTGTCAGACATAGTCAAGCCATAAATCAATAAAAAATTGTAAAAGGGAATAGGAAAAGATGTTTTTGGTCTGAGAGCTTGTATTTGGACAGATCAGGAGATCAAGAAACAAAGATCAGACTGGAGAGTAGCCTGGCAACATAGAGGGGCTTAGACTATTTCAGGTTAAGGTTTTAACAGTAAAGGTCGAGATGACCATATCAGTGAACTTCCTATATCCTTAGAACCAATCAGAGAGGATATGAATTTCTTCATTCCATCAAGAGAAAGTGGCTCAGAGTTGCACACATCCACAGAGCTGAATGGCTGGAACAGCCAAGTTCTACAGTTTCTGGGATGTATTCTTTCATAATGAACTCAACGTTTATTCAGTTATCATAGTTATTAAAATGGTCTTCTCAATCACCTGCTATGTACACATCAGTGAGCTGGACAGTGAATATGGATGACAGAAGAATTTATTCCTTTAAGTTGTAGTATTGGAGAAGAGTATCCTATGAATATCCCATGGACTGCCAAAAGAACAAACAGATATGTCTTGGAGAAGGTGCAGCCAGAATGCTCCTTGGAGACCCAGCTTTGTCTCCCATTCTTTGGGCAAGTTATTAGGCAAGGCTATTCCGTGGAAGGGGACCTCATGCTTGGAAAGATGGAGATTCAGTAAAGTAGAGAAAAACCTCCAGAAAAATGGATTGATATAGTGACTGCAACAATGGTCTCAAGTATGTCATATAGAGATGATGATGATGATAGTGGCACAGTATTGAGCAGGGTTCAGCTCTGCTGTTTTAGGGTCACTATGAGTCACATTTGACTTGAGAGCACTTAAAAACAAATGATCCAATGTCAGATGTGAATGTTTTTGTTTAATTACTGAAAATGTGATAAAATAGAAGTTCTATAACTCTGCCTTTTGATAATGTGTAAGATACTGATTGAGTGCAAATTCTTTAGAAATAGTTTTAAGAGCATGGTCTCGCTGCTGGCATGTGTCTCAAGGTCTTCCTGCCTGCTTCCTCCTTGATCATTCAGGTACTTTGGGGAACACACTGTTATTTAGCCTGACAACATGGGAGCCCTTAACTCAGGCAACAGGGAGATCCTGGGCATCATGTCAGAGGTGAGAAGCAACTTCCAGAAGGGAACAATAGGCTTCTTCCTTGGTTATCCAGGTACTTTGGGGGGGGGGGAACCGCTGCATTGCCGAAGTCTTGCAGGTCTCCAGACCAAAAGGGAGCACAGATATATAAGTTACTTCTCAAAACATTTCTGTGAACCAATGTGAACAGTTGAGAGCTGTGGGAGCAGTGAGCATCAGTGAGGTGCAATGAGCTGAGGCAGGGAGCAGCAAGCCGTTGCAGGGATCAGTGAGCCACAGCCAGACCCAATAGCCAAGAGCAAGCAGGACAGTGGGTATTTGAGGGAGGTACTTAGGGAGGATCACAGCTCATTGCTAGACCAATTGTGCGACCCCATCACCTTAAGGAGGAGGGACTGAGATAGCTAGAGCTTGACTGGGGTGGCAGACCCAGTTTTTGAAGGAAAAATCAAGGCTTCCTGGTTTTCCATTCAGCTCCCCCCACCTCGCACCTCTCCACATGTGCTGCTACATGCACATTTACCCTCCCTGCTCACCTGTGCATCTGCGTGTGAACCCAAGTCATGTGCATCTGCTTGTGTACCTGCCAACCTTCTTCTGGAGCAATAATGTCAGATCAAGAACCAGCTACCACCTCAGACATGAAAAACTCTACCACATCAATGTCTTGAAAGAAGCAGGCTACTTCAGTCCCCACACAAGCCCAAAGCAAGATATCATCCTCCAAAAGTGACACAGTATCAATAGATTTCCTGAAGCCAGAAAGTCTGGTGGAACTTTCTGACACAAAATTTAAAAGAACAATGATTGAATATTTTTCCGATGGGTGAAAAACAAACTTGAAGAATTACAGAACACTGCAAGCAAAAGTCAGGAAGAGTTTAAAAATAAACAATCCAAAAGTAATGCAGATAAAACAAAAAAGGTATTAGAGTCTCTGGAAAAATAAGAAAACACGATCCAAAATATGAGGTCCAAGATCTCAGATGCTGTCAACATGATGGAGGGACACAAGAACAGATTTAAAGAACTGGAACACAGAACCAGTGAAACAGAAGATGGAATTGTCACCACGGATTTGCTAGAGCAAAAAGCAGAATCAAAAGAGAAGGAAAAACAGAAGAAACCTAAGAATAATGTGGGACACCATCAAGAGAAATAACATGTGCATCATCGGAATCCCAGAATAGGAAGAAGCAAGTAAAGGCACTAAAAAAGTTGTGAGAGAATTACTAGAAGAAAACTTCCCAGGCATAATGAAGAATGAGAGAATATATATTCAAGAAGCTGAGCAAATAAAATATGGACCCCAAAAGAAAAACACCAAGGCAAACACCATAGTCAAATTTGTCAGAACCAATGATAAAGACAGAATTCTGAAAGCAGTGAGGAAGAAACAGAAATTAACTTATAAGGAAGAGCAGATAAGACTAAGTGCCGATTTCTCAGCAGAAACCATGTGAGCAAGAAGACAGTGGAAAGACATGTATCAAACACTCAAAGACTACAACTGTCAATCAAGAATACTGTACCCAGCAAAATTGTCCATCAAATATGAAGGGTAGATCAAGATATCCCCAGAAAAACGGAACCTAAGGAAGTTTGTTAAAACAAGACCAACATTGTGGCAAACACTGAGAGACATTCTTCTTACAAAAGTGCCACTGAAAGCAGGATGGACCAAAGTAACTGACAACAACGTCAAAAAGAACAAAATGATAGCAATGAAACCTTGCCTCTCAATAATAACACTGAATGTGAATGGTTTAAATGTACCACAAAGAGAAAAAGAGTAGCAGATTGGATAAAAAAGCAAAATCCATCAATATGTTGTCTACAAGAGACACATCTGAAAAGTGAAGATAAAGAAAGACTAATAAAAGGGTAGGGGGAATATACCAAGCAAATGGCAAGCAAAAAAAAAATAGGAGTAGTAATATTAATCTCTGATAAAATAAATTTCAATGCAAAAATCATCACAAAGGACAAAGAAGGTCACTACATAGTGCTTAAAGGGTTAATAGAGCAAGAAGATATAACAGTAAAAAATAACTATGCACCAAATGAAAGACCTGCTAAATACATAAAACAAACATTAAAAAAACTGAAAAAGGAAATAGGCAACAATCCTATAGTACTTGGAGACTTCAGTACACCTTTCAAGTAAAGACTGAACTACCAGTAAGAAACTTAAAAAAGATACTGAAGAATTAAACCACACAAAACCCCAGCTCAGTCTCATAGATATGTATAGGGTAATACCCCCCCCCCAAAAAAAAACACAGAACACCTTCTTCTCCAGTGTGCATGGAACGTTCTCTAGAATAGATCACATTTTAGGTCACAAGGCACACATCAAATTAAAAATCATAAAAACAATACAAAACATCTTCTCAGGCTGCAATGCTACAAAACTAGAAATTAATAACAAGATGATAAAGGAGGGGAAAAAAACAAACCCATACATTTGGAAGCTGAACAACACCTCGCTTGAACATGAGTGGGTACTAGAAGAAATAAAAAATGAAATTAAAAAGTTTCTTGAAACAAATGACAATGAAAATATCAAAACCTCTGGAAAACATCTAAAGCTGTAATTAGAGATTAATTTATAGCAATAAGCAAACACATCAAAAGGCAGGAAAAACTGACCATTGACTCACTAACCCAGTATCTCCAGCAAATTGAAAAAGAACAGCAAGAAAACCCAGCACCTGAAATTATAAAAATTAGAGCAGAAATAAATGAAAACAGAAAAACAGTTGAAACCATCAACAAATCTAGAAGTCTGTACTTTGAAAAGGTCAATAAAATTGACAAGCCACCAGCAAAACTAAGAAAAGAAAGACACAAATAATCCAAATAAGAGATGAAACAGGCAACATCACAACAGAACCAATTAAAATAAAAAGGCTAACTTTGGAATATTATGAAAAACTATACTCAGCAGCCAGAACCCAGCACAGCCAGAAAGATAGAATTTGAACCACACACAGGACAGCTGAGTCCCAGCCAAAAGACACCAGCCAAGCCACAGTAGAACACACCCACCAGGAGCAAGTAGGGAGCAACCACCCACCACCTTGTGACTCTGTAGAGCAACCAACTGCTCCCAGCCTCCACGAGACCCCAGAGGAGCAACTGCCTGCCAGCCATCACATAACCCCAGAGAAGCAAGCGCAGGCTGCCGCGTGACCCCAAGGAGCAACCACTTCAGGTCATCGCGTGACCACATCCCACAGCCTGACGCTGCATAAATCCCTGGTGGTGCCCAAGCCCCACCCCCTGCCTCCCAATGGTAGTGTCCCAGCCCCGTGCTCCCACACCCCACTTTACCACAGCCCAGTGCTTCCTCCCCCCAAC